AAAGCTCATGCTCCAATACGTCTGTTAGTCTATAAGGTGCCACAGGACTCTTTGCTGCCTTTACAGATCCAGACTAACATGGCTACCCCTTTGATACTTCCTTCCTTTAGGTACCTTTCTCCTTTTTTGTCTCCTGACAGCATTGATTTCAGTACTTTTGTAGCATGGTCCAAAAAAAGACCTGATAATTCCTTAACCGTTTTGAAACTGAATCATTCACTACCTTGCATTATATGCTAATTGGAATCTTTTATACTGACTTGTATTTTTAAAGGAAATTCATACATCTTGTATCACTGGCATTGATTCAAACTATTTGTAGAATAAACCCTACTGAATTCTGCAGTCAAGTCTTCTCTAATGCTTTAGGCTGTGTATTTTGCGATGTTCTGATGCTATGTTGCTACCAGAAGCACTACGATAACATTGGGCCAGAGGAAAGTGTGCCATCTGTCTTATGGGCAATGCTACTTCCTCTGCATGCGTGAGTTTTGTTGTATAAAGTCTGACCCATCTTGATCCTCTACAGTTTCTACACAGTCCAAAGTCATAGGGCTGTACTATCACATCTATGGTCCTTGCTTCTCTCAATATAGAAACATCGTCCTTTTTAGGTCACGGTCTACCTTGATTTAAAATAAAGTTAATTGAGGTGCTCTCACAATTAAGTATACAAGAAATAGTAAGCTGCAGCATCTTTAAAATCATCGCTTCCACATGAGCTCAGCCAGCCACCCACCAACCCCGTCATCAGCTAGAAAACATACCTTAATCTTCTCTAAAAACCTGCTCAAACAGGTATCTTTTGCAGCTTGCCTGGAAAGTCATCAAATTTGGGCTATTTTGGATCAGGGGAAGAGTGCCACAGTCTGAGCCTTTGCCAGCCCTCTTTCATAGTGAGCTTCAGTTCCCCGGCTGACCACAGCTGTGGCAGAATGGCACAGGGGCATGTGTGATCCCTCCAGTAGGCTAGTCCTGGGCCATTCAGGGCTTTGCAGGTCATAACCAAGCCCTAAAATTCCACCCAGACACCAACAGGCAGCCACTGCAGATCCTAAGGCAATGCTGTTATTTCTCCCCCCGCCCCCTCAGTAAGTAAGCCCCGGTGTTCTGCAACAGCTTCAGTCTCCAGTTGATTTTAAGGTGTAACACAGAGCTGGCCAAAACGTGGGATTTCTAGTTCATGGATAATGTTGCTGATTTGGTCCAAATCAGAATAGATCCAAATTTTTCAAACATTTCACATGAACCAGAAATCTCTCTTCCCCGCCCCCCAAAAAAGTAATTTTGGAAACACAGACAGGTTGTGCTTACAAAACCAAGTTTGCTGCCCAAGATCCTGATGGCTGCTGAGTGAAAATGACATTCCTGTCAGTTTCGTAACGGCTATTAGCAGAGGTAAAACTGACATCAATTTCACTCAACAACTACTGGAGCTACCAGGGATAGGGGCAGCCCTGCCATGCAGACTGTCCTGGGCTGGGGATCTCAGGACTTGCAGGCTCTTGGGCCAGCTGGCTCCCTGAACTGGAATCTCATACAGTGGGACTTTCCCAGAGCCATAGACCCTGGAAGACTGGGTTCCCCAGCAAGTTGGCAGGTGTCTACTGGAACCCTGACACTGATATGCCAAAAGTTCACTGTACCCGGTGATGTTTTCCTGAAATATTTTGGATTCAACAAATTGGCATTTTCTGATAAAATGGTTTAGTCAGCAATTTTCCAACCAGCTCTAGTACACCCTCATGTAGAGTGCATTGCAATAATCTAATCTTAACAAAAAAGCCTGGATAAGGATGGAAAGGTGACAACATCCGAGCTAGATGCAAATGAGTCACTACTGTAATATGGAATAAACAGCACCTGGGAGTGGGTCCAAAAATTACCCCTAAGTTGCAAACACTAGCAATTAATGGCAAACATACTCCTTTAGTCAAAGGGAGGGACAAGTTTAAAGCCAGAAGGGACCATTAGGTCATCTTGTTTGACCTCCTGTATATCACAGGCCATTAAATTTAGAACTCTAGAAACGTAAGGTGGGAAGGGACCTCGAGACATCAAGTCATCCCCATGGAGGCAGGATCAAGTAAATCTAGACCACAGTAGCATAGCTAGCGGGGTGCAGGGGAAGCAGCCACTTCCCATCAGCAAATTTGCCAAAAGCGGCGCCTTTCCAAAGGCGGCCAGAGGAGCGAGGGGGGCGGCGCAGGCTGGCGCCGGCA